GTATGTATGTATGTATGTATATGTATGTATATGTATGTATATGTATGTATATGTATGTATATGTATGTATATGTATGTATATATGTATATATGTATATATGTATATATGTATATATATATATATATATATATATATATATATATATATATATATATATATATATATATATATATATATATATATATATATATATATATATATATATATATAATATGTATGTAAATATGTGCCTGACAATTCACATACATTAGAGCTCCATCAGAAATAATCACTTCTATACACAACCAGACCTACAACTAAAACATTCAATAGGTGCACTGATATTAGGCTATTCAGTGTAACCAAAGCATTACATGTCAAGCACTTGCCCATTAGTAGTGTAAAAATATCTTTGAATCTTTGAAGAGTTAATTTTTCAGCTTCTTTCTCTAGTGAAGAACAAGGTAATAAATATTGAGAAGAAATAAGAACATTTTTTGATCTAACATATATGCATACAGGTACATACACATGCAGAAATGCCTCTAAATTCCACCTTATATTCTGAATTTGATAATACATTTGAGAGGGATCTGGATGTTGATAAAAGTATTTTGCCTTCTGGTTTTCACCAGAGTTTTGAGAATTTTCTTGTAGTAAATGATAGAACAGATGATTATGCAAATTTACTCACAAATAATATATAAGCAATGAATTAGTATACATATAAATATACAGTACTGTATTGTGATATATATTCAGGAACTAAAATTTGTTTTTGTAGCTCAGCCTGAATATTGACAGTAATTTTCAGTGTTCTAATTGCACATTTAAGAATTAAATAAATTTATAGTACTAGCAATACAGAGGTGGATAAAATTTACTCATTAACCAATCGAGTGCAATTAACACTTGTTAATATATTTTGTTAAACTTTTTATGTATTTATATACAAAGTACATTGGTTTGAGAGTACATAACATTTGTGTTCTTACATTCTTGCAAAGCCACTAACATGCATAGTGTGTCTGGCAGAAACAGACTAATGCCAAACTGTACACAGAATCAAATGTTAAAAATAACTGGTAGAGGGTCTTGGATGTGGTCTTGAGGGTCCTGCCTCAAAATCTCTATTTTTTTTTATCTGGAAATTGGTGTTCGTATTGAAAAGCTGTTCCTTTTCATTTGTTTTTCTCCCTTATTTCATTGTGGAAATGTTCCCAGAGTTGTGAATAGAAACCTCCAATCTCTCTCCTGCCCAAATTAATGCACACATCTTTAAGTGCATTATGTGATAAACACTTTTTGTAGTCTACCTTCGTGGTATTTCAATTCTTACTCTCATCTACTTGAATACCACTAACAATAGCTGCAATTTCATCCTCTTACAGAAGACAATGCCAAGGTTCATCTGAATCTTCCTGTAACCATTTCCACAATAAATTCTCTACTCACCTCATCAGCAACATCTCTAAACATATTTTAATAATGTTTTTGTCAAAATTTTAAAGATCCTTTTTTTCATGCTCATCATTATTATTCTATGATCATTATTACCATCTCCAGTTACAGGCTTTATTACCTTATTTTGTACCCTCCCTAATGTCATTTTCCTTATGCGAGTCCTGTCTTGAAATATACTACTTATAAGTAAGATAAATTATTTTGTAATACTTTTCCAGTATATTTTTTTTTTATGTTGCACGATTAACACCCTAATCCATAGGCTAGATGATAGATGTGGTCTTTTGGTAGAAAAGCCATGCATATAATTATTGAATTTATTGAATTTAATAAATTAACCTAATTGTATGCAAGGACATTATCATAAAGCAATTAGGCTTTCATCTGATCAGCTTTCAAACCACTTTATCATTTAAAATTCCTTAATCTCTTCTCAGAAATGCTTGTGAAACCATCTAAGAAATAAAATGCGAGTGAGCCAAGCATATTTTGAGTGGGAGTAAAGGATGTCTGTCTTTGGAGATTTATTATAATCTAGGCTGTGCAGCTTTGCCTACAATAGATGTCTTTAGTTCATAAAGAAATCACATTAACAATGCATCAATGAAGAAACAGTAGACCTCTTAGCAGGTTCAAATCCTGTTTATGGCTCCTACAATTTTTCTCAGATGTCTTTAGTGTTATCCATCTGCATTTGCACACACCATAGATGAAATGTTATAAAAATTTACAGAACATTAATTTATCACACATCATTTTGACTGTCACATACAATAGAGCATCCAGGTCTCTTCCCTCCCCCTCCCCTCTCCTAACCTTCCCTATCCCCTCTACCCATCTCCACCTTATCCCTTGCTCTCCATTCCTCCCTGTCTCCCTGCTCTACCTTTGTTCCCACCACCTTCTCTGCCCCTCCCCTTCCCTCTCTCTTCCCTCCACTCCTCTCAAATCTCAATCTTTCTCTTGGAAAATGTAATATTACAATATTCTTTTTTAGTAACATTTAGGTACATCTGAATTCATGCAGCTACTATAAACTACATGAAGGGTTACATAGTGTGTGTCGAGCTAGGTACATGGCGGTAAAAAATCCCCATCTCGCAGGATGGTCATACAAGACAAATTACAAAGCACCGAGACTGCTAAAATATCTCTACAGAAAAAAAACAACCTATATTTCAAACTTCATGAAAATTGCAGGGGAGGGGGTTGCAATAGATGGCAATATTTATTTTTCCATTTAAATAAAATGGAATACTGGGCACTATGAGGGTACCTAGGGCCATTTAAATAAAATGGAATGCTGGGCACTATGGGGGTACCTAACATATTCTGGGTCTGAATGTTTGTCTTTCCTCTTTCTTCCCCTCTCCATCCGGCCCGTTGGCGCCGTGAGGGGGCTTGGTGGTCGGCTGCCGGAGTGTGATGCTCCATGGGACGGTCCTCTGTCCTTTTGTGGCCTTATGCTCCTGCTGCTGTCTTCTCCAATTGTGCCGAATCGCTTTTACTTTTCCTTATGTTTCGTTTTTCTCCCCCCCCCCTTTTCTTATCTGTTTGTCGTTTCCTGCCGACCTTTTGCTTGTTTTGGTTATTCTTTTGGACTTCTTCTATTTTGACGCCCAGGTGCTTGGGGAGGCATATTCTTGCACCCGTAGAACTGTTGTACCCAACGTCGAGAGCGGGGGGGGGGGGGGGGACCCTGTTATTGTTAATCCTCCTTTTGTCGCTGAACCTGATCTCTCTCGACGGACTGATGGTTCTTAAGGTGGTGTTTGTGGGGCGTATACTCATGACGCACCCCTAGGGGGCCCCAGCATGATCGGCAATAGCTTCTTGTTGGGTGTCCTGCCTCTAATTGTGGCTCCATGGTGGGTATGGGGGCACATTCGTGAATGAATGGTTTTTTTCTTTGTCCTGATGTCAAATTCTATTCCTCTTTTACCTTCTCAGGCTCGTGGGGTGGGCGGCCAAGCCCCCGAGTCCGGCCGTGTTGGAAGACCGGGCTCTGTAGCCCCAGCTGCATTGGGCCCCGACCTTGCTCCTCCTCTGACCTTTCTGACTACTCCCCTCCCTCCTCTGTGGTTAGGTCGTGCCCCAAGCCCCCAGTGGTGACCGCCTCGTCCCTTGGCACAGCTCAGTCTCTAGTTATGACTACTGCGCCTTTTAACCCCTCTCTCTCTCTCTCTCTCTGGGGGTTCTCAATGCCATCCTCGACACGGCCGCACTCGCTCGATTCCTTCCCGTACTGATGCGTATCAGGCCTTGTTTGGTCCCGCTTTGTGGGCCAAATACTTTGATCTCCTCCCTCTTGATTCTGCGCCTCCTGACAATATCTCCCTTCATAGACACCTTGTTGATTCCGTAGATGCCTCTGTTACTTTCCACCCCACCTGTCTCTGTAAGCATGTTGTTGCTGCTCCTTCTCAGGATGCAGCATTCCTCTTGGCTGCCTTGTTCTGCTTTGGTGAGACCCCTGTTTGGGTCTCCAAGAATGCTCTGTTGAATGCCAGTGTTGGCACTATTCTCCTCCCACCCTATGTTGCTACTGGTGTTCGGAATCTCTAGAACTGCCACGAAGATATTAGTCATATCCTCGATGCTCAGAGCCATTCTGTCCTGCAGGTAGGCTCGTTTACTCGTCCCCCTCGTGATCGTTGCCGTCAACTCCTTCGGGTTGTGAAGTGACTGTCCTACGGTCCTACTTCTGATGGTAGGACCCTTCCACCCTGTCATTCTTACTGGTGCCAGGTGCTCTGTCCAGGAGTACATTCCCTCTCCTCGGCTCTGTAATAAGTGCTGGAGGTTTGGGCAAGGTGCCCTCTGCTGCTCTAGAACTCTCTGTCCTTTGTGTGGGGGCGAAGGTCACTCTAAATCGAAGTGCACTTCTTCCCAGGCTCGCTGCCGCAATTGCAGTGAGGCCCACCCTACCTTCTCCCGTGCGTGTATGCATTACAAGCTTGAGGCAGCCATCCTCAACTTGGAGCACCGGGAGCGTTTATCTTTTCCCGAGGTGAGGTGCCAGGTTCACTGGCTCCCACGTTATGCTAGTGTCTCTTATGCTCGCGTGTTGCACTCTTCCTCTCCTTTATTCTTCCCACCTTCCTCAGACTCAAAACCGTTTCCAGGCCTAGAAACAGTTTTGAGTCTGAATCAGGTTTTCTCTAATACACATGTCATTAATTAAGCACAACTGCATTGGGACTGTTGTTAATTTTCTTACGGATATTTTACATTCTACTCAAATACCGTCTACCATCTGGAGGGTGTTGAAACACTAGGTCACTTAATCTTTCCAATTGTATTTGAAGTTTCGTCAGCAGTGTGATTTCTTCAGGAAATCACTGTTCAACTGACAGGTATACTGAGCTTACAAGGAGATGTAATGGTTGTCTGCAAATGTGCTCAACTTTTGTTTAAATAAAATAAATATTTGAAGTGAATTGGTAAATCAAGATAGACAAATTTTCCTAGTTATACAAAAGCATTCATATTGCTTCAGAATTCATCTGCACACTACTCTGCATTACTTATTTTTTGTTTAATTCCTCTTTTTCAGCTTCGTTACTTGCAAACCCTCAGCACCATCTCGGCAGAAAAGAACTCTACAATCATCTTCCCAGTTCCCATTGACATTATCAACAACTATGTGACCAAGAAATAGTTCCATAACTGTATATGCTCTTATGATTGTAGGAATTACAGTAGATGACATTGACTTCCAAGGACTTTAGACTTCTGAAGACACTGACAGTCAAAGATGCAATTTATCTCAAATATTATCTAAATGGAATAATTTTGCCTTAATTCATCAACCAGCAACAATATAACTTCTATGTGAAATCTTTTAATACTGTAATAATATTTTGAATCTTAGTGTATATATTTAGATTTTTTTTATTAGCTAGTTATTGACACATTTCTTGCTTATGGAAGTGTTTGAATAGATAAGATGATTTGCAGTATAAAAGTATGTAACTTCCCTTTCTAAAATGGGAATAATTCATTAGCTGATTAGGACAAATTATTTTACTATGTTACATTGATAAGATATTTAACTTTATATATAATTGCTTCCAAAAGTAAAGACAAATTTTTAAATAATATTGGTCTTGAAAGTCAAAATGTAATCAGAACCCATTCTGTTTGCATTTTGCATGGGTGAAATGAAAAAAATGCAAGAGACATTCTTGCAATTGAAGTACTTGTG